CTTTTTAATAATTATTATATAATGTTTTCATTAGAGTTTGTTTCATATGCGTTATTTTATGGATTTTTGTATTCCTCTTGCAGTCACTTTCTGTGATATGGGTGCCCATATTAATTAATTAAATGACAAAGTTTGCATCACAATGTTGTGATACGTATTTCATCATTTCCTCCCCTTGCTCCAATGGATGTTAATAATTGGATTCTAACAATCACAGCCATTAATATAAAATATTTGGAATTGGTGTTTGTGAGATTTTTTTCTGAGGATTAAATTGTTGTTGAATGTAATTTTTTGTGTTTGTGCTTCTTTCCAAATGTTATTCCAAAGACTGCTTGAAAAATGGAATTGAGGAGAATACTACTTGGTACAGACAAGTGTGGCAAAAATAATTCAAGCATCAAAGTTCAAGCCATCTCATCCATTTATGCATAAATAAAAGTAAAACGCAGCCATAAAACAAATATGCAGAAATCTTGCATATGGTGGAAGAAATTTTTCCCAAAACCAGAGATTTTGATTGGATTCTGTTAATTTCAAAGTGCTTGTTGAGGTAGGATTATTTTTTTTAAGAAATCATTCAATCCATGAAAAAGATCCTGACTTTTTTAATCTGGAAAATTTTCCTCAATGCTTGTTCATAGCTGAAGTCATCCATGTATGATTTGTATGTTATTAAACAACCCATGACCTAAGCATCATCTGTCAATCCTGAAGATGACTTGGACGAAGCCATCTTGGAGCTTTAGTGTTGCCATACTGGAGCAAGAAATAGGGAGGGGGGATTAAAGATAGCTAGGGATGAGTAGACAACATAAAATAGTTTCTCTTGGTTCTCAATAGTTCTCAAGGACGTTCTCACACCTGGTCGGAGGAAGGAGGAGTGATGTCACCAGACCAGCGGACATTGCATTGATTGGACCATGGGACTGATTATTTGGGACTGGGGGGAAACCTTTTACTTTTAATTAGGTGAAAACGAAAGGACCTTTCAGAGTTGGTTTTCACCAGATATGTGCCAATTTGATATTTCCAATAATGCTATTCTTTGAGGAGTCTACCTGCCTTGGAGTTCTTGCTTGCAAGAATCTATTATTTGGAACCCTGACATCATTTCAGAGAAACAGAAGAACTATGGGTGAGCAAAAAAGCAGTGGAAGCAGGAGTGACTTCTGATTTCCTGCTGGCTTCTCCGTTGTCTTTAACTGTAGGAAGCTTGCAAAAAGCATGGGACATGACAATCACAAGACCGCGTTGATTGCAGCAGCATGGTATAACTGAAGTGACTACAACTTTGCCAAGTTTCAATTCTCCTGGAATAATAGATCCTGGATTTTGGGTGCATTGAATAAGTTAGACCATCTGAACCATCCTGATTAAAAAATTACTGTTACTCTATGATGTATCATTTTTACAAGCGGAAGATTACAAACAAGTTAAGAAAGTTATGGCTGAATAGCTAAGACCTTTAATATACTACTATACCAAATACGAGAGGTTTAGTGGTATATAGATACTTCCATTTATTAAATTCTGAACTATTCAGCGATAACTTTTTAAGAGTAACAGAATACTTTAGTATTCAATTTCAAAACATAGAGAAACATGGAGTTCATCAGCGTACAACAACCGCATACATACATTATATTCTCAATTTTAAATTATAATTAGGGAAAGACTTCAACAGAAATCTTGTTTTGCTTAAATATATATATTTGGAATAGGAATGGAGAAATATTTGTTATTGAAATGGGACAGCATCACTTCACATTGAAACAATGAATTCCAATGTATTATGAGGAAATTTAACATATTAACAGAAACTATCATGAGTAAAATGTGTTCATGTTATAATAACCTCATACTTTGAAGCTAAATTATTGATTGAATCATTTGAATTGAATATTGAATCATTTCTATAGTACACAATCAGTCCCTAAATTTAAATAAGTTTAGGCATTAGGACTTTATTCCAGACATTCCATTTGGTTCATGTCAACTTCACTCAGATCAGTTAGGGAGAAAAATATTTCTTGTCAACATAGTAAATACACTGTGGAGAGACATTACAGGAGACGTAAATTCTCCAAGTCCTTATTTTCTATTTGAAAAATCAATTCATTTGGGATATAAGTAAGTTTGCTTTTTCCACAAGGAGTGATGTGAGTAAATGTCAACTAAATTTAAATCTACTAAAGGTTTATTGGACTATATTTAATCAAACTTGAAAATCATAAATGTTCATTTTATATTCACTTGATGTTTACAGATTGTTCTGACAATTCAATTTGCATATGCTGTCAAGGAGATGACAAAGAAAACATGCACCCTCAAAATTGTCTTGGTATTTGCAAATATTATTAGGGTAGAAAAGACATTTAATCGCAGGCTTGAATGAGCAAACATTTGAAGTTGAAAGTATCATTTTAACAGTGTTTGATGTTAAGAGGGCTTTTCCTGCCTTCGCTTGAATAGTCAGAATGTCTATGGAAATTAATCAATTCAATTCCAAGTTAGCAGAATGTTACATGTGTTTGCCCTCATGTGTTTGTCTGCATATTTGATGCTGAATGAAAAACTTGAATAACTAAAAAGTATGCTTTGTTTTCAGACAGGTTTGCATTTATGCCCAAAATAGTCAATAAATGCCTGAACAATCCTTATCTAGGAATTCCCCACGAAAACTACTTTTGTCAGGAAGTTTAATAAAAGAAAACTACATTTGTACAAAACTACATTTTGAACAAATGTAACAAGTTTCTTAATGTTTCCACCAATAGATTCCATCTTAATTGTTCTTCTGTTTCTCTCACACTAGAGGCAGCATTCGCCAGGAGAATTTTGCAGATCAATTGACAGGGTTTTTTGGTTTGTGGCTTATAAAAAAACAAACTTCTACTGTTTAGATTCTCAATACACAGTTATATGAAGAAGTGGTAACTATATGAAAGTATCAACAACCACAAACCTTGTTTATACTGCATCAGCATCTGGACCTGCAATGAGATACAGTAGAATACATCAGCACATTTATATTCAATACTGATATAAATTTGGCTAAAAGCAGCATGCATGCTCTTACTGCTTTTTATAGTCACCACAATTCTGTGAAGTAGGATAGGCATAGTGATAGTCCCCAAGATAGAATAATCTAGCAATATGCTTCCCTTGATCATGCCTGACATTTTAATCAATGATATAAACTCAACAATAGGCTTAATGGGTTTTTTTATAAAACATGGGAGAGAGTGAAACAACGCACTTCTCTCCAAAATGTATAAACATAGAAAACCCAGCTCTGTTAAGTTTAGTCGTTCGTCCCACTCTCTGCAATCCAATGACCAACTACAACAAATTTAGTGAGGTCCCTGCAATCTATTGTCCTTCCTTATTGCTACAGAAGTATATTTATTGCTGTGAATGTAAACCTGGAAATTAATCCTAAAGGAAATGAAAATGAGGTTTTTGGTGGTTTCTTGCAAAAACACAGAAATATGCCTTGTTTCTGTTTTGAGGGGGAGCCTCTTCCCCATTAAACATTTCTAACTGCAAAATATAATCTATTGTTTCTAAGCATAATAATACTTTCATATAATATACTTATTCAGACTTAACAACTCTCAATAAGACTATGGCAAAAGTAAGCAAAGGTAGTACCAATAGTTATAGGCACCTTGGATGGAACCTCAAAACAACTTGTACGCCATTAGCATTGACAAAATCACCATCAGTCTATTGCAAAATGCAGTTTTACTTGGAACAAATTGCATCTTGTGTGACCATACCTTTAACAACATCAAAGAACAACACCTGCTACCGCAGGTCTTTGGGAAGAACTTCATAGGTGGACAAAAATGCAAAAACTAGTCTAAACTGTTTGGCAATGCAATGAACCATAATATCAATTATTATTTTATGATGGTAAGTTGAGAAAATCTAATTGGCTATAGTTATGTCCTGTTATTTAAATAAATTATGGCAATGTTTGTTTGTTAATGTTCCATCCATTTTGCCTTCCCACACGCTGAAATAATTAAGCAAAAATAACAGTAATAAATATATAAAAATATTGTATTGGGGTGAGTAGGATGAAGTCAAAAGTTAACACAGCTGACATTTTCTGTAAATGATCTAAATTTTGGGTAGGAGGCTACACAAAGTAGGACATTTCCTAATCCAATAGCCACCTCCAGAATGACACACATCTGTTAGGGTCCTAGGCCAGCTGGCAGAGCCAGATCCTCAGGCACTTACGGAAGGTCAAAAGGGTGGGTGAGAAGATCCAAAGGGCTGGAGTCAAAGCAGAAAAGGCTCTTCTCCTGATCCTGTCAACAAAAATTCCTGGATTGATGGGGTCCACAGCATGTCTCACTGGGGTGAAATAGTTCTTCAAATAACCTGAATAATATTCTCTATTATTTAGACATTATATTGAATCATATCTTCAGTTATTTATTAGATTCTTCTACATCAAATGCAGACTTCAAAGAGTTCATTTTATCTAATTTCCTTTTGACTTAACTGTACCCTTGCACCACTCTTGAGCTACAGTAAGAGTCTTTTACTTTCCCAACTAGAACCTAATCAGAGCACAAATATGCATTGGCATTTTATTCTGCCATGTCCCCATGATACTGCCTTTATCTCAACTCCAGTTCACAATCAATATGAGAAAGGTAAAATAAAATTAAAATAAAATTATCCTTTTATTCAGACACCACTCAAGGGCAACCTCAATATGTAAGGTTTTGTGACTTATCCCCTTGAAGGAAATCAGCTGCCTGAGCCCAGGAAAATACATCATTATTTTAAAGAGCTAAAACTTTGTGATATTGCTACTCTTACATTCATTTGAATGTAAGTGAGGCAATTTCAGGCCGAGCAGAAATGAAACATTAGAAGATTGCTGTAGGTACCACATGACCACCTAGTCTGCTGATAAAGTTAAACTAAATTTCACTTCCTGACTAGCTGGTTTTTGTACCTGCAGTCTGAAGAGCGGGTTGTACTTAAGTTGTCTTTGCCTCCAGCAACACTTACATGAAAGAAAATGAACTTCAGTTAATTTTATTCTCCATGGTTCTCCACGGTCAGCTTCATGCTTTTGTGCTTGCCAAACATGCTGCATTCCTGTTTACAAAGCAGTAATTTAAGTGACAGGTCTTTTGAGTAGAAGGCATGTCATTTGTCATGGACTTCATGGGAATGAAAAAAAGCAGGAGGGTGAGTTTCTGGGCTTCTTTAAAAGTGTTGCATTTGTAATATAATCTGATGTTGTGCATCAGTTCCATTGCTCCCAGCATCTGAGGCATGGACATCTGAAAATAATACAGGGCCCTGAGCAAAATAGCAATGTGCCTCAAGAAAAAGACATGATTGTTTTCACTGGGCTGTGAGTTTTAACTCTTACCTGAGGTAATGTGAGACGTTCATCTGCCCCCCATGAAAATTGATCACATCTGTTTTCCAGACTCTTTTATAAATGGCATTCAAAAGATTCTACCCCCACCTTCCCTTATAATTATACCCATCTTCCATATTCATTTTTTATTTCTGTCTTAGACAAGTTCTAAGACCTTTCTCTTGCCACAAATTTGGGACAAATTACCCTGTTCTATTTTTTGTGGGTATTATTGTATATTTATTTAATCATAGAATATATAAGAAGATAATGCTTTCCCAGGATTCATATAACAGCCATTGTATAGGAAAGTAATATCCTGAAAACTTCCAGATTAGCAACTTTTACTAGTCAAAATATATTGTATAAGAATTATATCTTTTCATAAATTTTCTATAAGGAAAAAGCTGTAACAGTGGGAGGAAAACAAGATGTTTACAAACAAAAGACATTATCATTCAGGTAAAAAACTAAGGTAAAGGTTCCCCTCATACATGCATGCTAGTTATTCCCAACTCTAGGGGGCAGTGCTCATTTCCGTTTCAAAGCCACAGAGCCAGCGGTGTCCAAAAACGTCTCCATAGTTATGTGGCCGACATGACTAAATGCCGAAGGCTCATGGAATGCTGTTACCTTTCCACCAAAGATGGTTCCTATTTTTCTATTGCATTTTTATGTGCTTTCGAACTGCTAGGTTGGCAGAAGCTGGGACAAGTAATGGGAGGTCATTCCGTTACACTGCTGAACTGCCAACCTTTCTGATCAACAAACTCAGCATCTTAGCCACCGAACCACCGCATCCCCTATCATTCAGACTCTTCTCTAAAATTTCATGAATGATTTCATGAAATTTTATCTAGAAGTTTCTAAGATTAATTCATTAGGAAGTATATGAAGATAGAATTGTAAGTGGAAGAACTCATGGTCTCTTATATGGTTGATTCTGCTACATCACTTGTTTACTCCAAACTACATTTGCCATATATTTGTCATCTACTGAAACCCCCATCAAACAGCTTCTTATAGCTCGGGAGAGGTAGAGATCAATCACAGAAAGTGAAAGTTTTTTTGTGTCTGTCCAATCATGGAATGCTCTTCCCACGGACCCTTGCCTATACTATTACCATTGTAGATTACAGTACAGGCAGGATTTTTTGATTACAGTATCTTAAATAGAATTGGCTTAAGTACACTTAATATTATGTAAATAATATACCAAATGGATTAATATTATTGTGAATATATTATATGATTGTAAAATGAATACTTTCAATTAGGCAATAATTGCTTTATTCATGATTTCTATTTATGATTATATAGTACAGTTGTGCACTATGGTTACATCAAGTCAACTTATTAAATTGAATTATGCAATAAACTTGTGCACATAGCTCCAAATGCTTCCGTATTGCATTCATAGCTTATCAGAACTTAGCCCAAAGTCTTTAATTAACCATTATTTTGTATGTAATAATGTTTTTGGTTCAAAGACAGAAAGTGATAGAAAAAATAATGTTCATTGCAAAATGCTGTGGTGGCCAACAATATGGCAGCTTTAAAAAACTGATAAAAATTGATGGCTTCTAATCATGAAAAAAAATATTATATCAATTCCATAGTGGCCAATATGTCTCTCAATCCCTACTGCCGGAGGACACATATGAAATGTATTAGAATGAAAAATATGCTCCCTGAATTTCCCATACAACTTTGGTTAGCTGTTGTGAGAACAAAGTGCTATATATCAGAGAGGATTTTAAACTGATCCAGGAGAGTTCTTTCTGTATTCCTGTATAGGGTAGGTTTGTTTACAAAGAACCCAATATACTTTGGTGTCTGAAGGAGATTTTGTACAAGTAAAAGTGGTTTTCTTCTTCTCCAAAATATGAATTACTTTCCTTTAGCAGTGCTGCATTACATCAGGCCCAGGTTTTTCTCCATTTCATTAAAAACACACACGTTCATAGAAGTTCACTAAATATTTATGAATGTAATTTATGACTATGAATTGATGCCTTTTTCCTGAACTAAAAGGATATCTGTGTGTGGCCAAATCCATCCCCTGTCCCTTACACACACACAAATCTATGACAAACTCAGAAGTATGGAGGTGAATAGCAACTTCACATTAATACTGAAAATCTTTACCTGGAAAAAATACCCAGGCCATTTAAAATCTTATTTAACTACCTAGAAAAGAAGTAGAGGGCACACGTTCACTATTTCAGATCAATGTTATCAAGATCAACTAATTGATTTTATTGCCTCATAAAGGACAAAATGGTGTTCATTCCATCGATAAAAATCCAACCTGACTGGCAATCAGATTTTATTTAATCTTCATTCTCAGGAGGGTGAGAGTCTATGTTGCCTGGAACAAACTACCCTTGAAGAGTGAAAAATAGTGCCCACCTTGTTTGTTTTGACCAATCCTGCAGACGTTCCTGGGTCTGTCAAAGGATAGGCTTCCAAAATTTTACCAAGGGGTTCTCTGCCCAGTTGCTGGGGGAGTGGCCATGGTAGGTGTGGCCTAGTCGGCCGAACCCCTAGCAGCTCACCCCTGGGTCTGTCTCTACCAATAGTAAATCTGATTCTTAATATAATATCTAAATGTGATATTTTCAATTAATGGTATCTTTATTTGTTCATTAGGACTGAGATCCCCAACACTATGTACCAAAACAAGAAGTTTGTATAGTCTTTTGAACTGGGGAGAGGCCAAATTACAAATTTTTCATGAATTAAAAACTACCCCAATTTCTCAGAGTTCGTGCTGGAGACAGCAGACAGGCTTTATTTGAGTCTGAGAATAGTTGTGGTTCTTGCTCTGACTTTTTGTGAAGACTCCTGAAAAGAAAATATGACCCAACTTTGATAAATGTGAGATTCAGGTGTTTCCAAGAGCTAGAAGTGAAAACTTTTTTTCTTGCAGCTCCCCTATATAATAAAGGTAGAATGATTCTTAGGGCAACATGAGATAACCAAAGAAGTTTGGCTTCCAAATCACCTCCAAAAGTGGCAATGAAATTGTAATTTTTAAAGAGACAACAAATTGAAATTCTTAAATGCACAGAAATCAATAATGTTAATTTAGGAATCAATAACATTAATTGTATTTCATGACAATGAATGTTAATTCAATTTAAAATTTAAATTGAATTGATTATCATTTTGGATGTGGTTCTGTTTCTTTCTTGTTTTCACTTTCTTACTATTCGTAATATAGTTTTCATCTTATGCCTCAGATCAAAGGCATGCCTCCTATCGAGGTTAGATTATTCTGGATGCTTATATGGATCTGTAATAGTTTTCTCATATCATATATTAGAGAATAACTAATTTAAGAAAACTTAAGTTCAACATTTTCCTGAAACTGAAATATTCTTATCTGCCTACTCTCATTCCAACTCAAGTTGATCACAGGGCATCCTGAATTGGTAGGGCTTATTTGAATAACAAATTTTCCCAGCATGTAGGGCTGCCAGATCTGAGTTGCAAAAACAGAAATGACCACTAGATAGCAAAAAGAGATATATACAATTTTCACTCTTGGCTGCTGCCTAGTTTGTAGCTGAATTTTTACAGTCCAGACCAACTAGTTTAGCACTGACATGTTTGGTTTTATATACATTTGGGTTGTTCATGGAACTGTGATATCAGTGTTCACAATAATATCATTAATAAATGATTCTTTCTCTTTCACACTTTACAATATAAATTTGTAATATATTTAAAAACAAATGTCCACGTGTTTATGATGTATCATTCCATTTGGTAGCTGTTTTTCCAGGCTTTACACTACTCCATGTTTTATTATAGCACCAAACATGAAATAAGAACAATTAATTCCTAACAACATAACTATTTGTCTGTTCTTCTTATGGTAGGAATGCATTAGGGTGGCATAAACTGCCTTTTAAAAAAAAAAAAATCCAATTTCTTTGTAGCCTTTTCAAAACAGTTTTTAAAAAGTAAACCATTTTTTTTAAAAAATATCCTTTTGCAGAACTTGACTCTCAAGTTTACATATGATGCAACTTAAAAAGTCCGCAAGACTAAATCATGACCTTAGCCATAAATATTTGCATATTTTAGCTTGAACAGACTTTTAAATCAAGAAACTGCCTTTTTCGTGTTCTGTGGATATATGAGGAGAAAGGGTTTGTTTTAGAAAGCAATTTGAGCATTTATCAAGTGGTTGTACTCTTGCCTCTTTAAACCCTCCTGATTCTAAATCAGTTTTATGGGAAGCTGTTTCTTCTAATAATGTCGGGAAAAATCTGTAATCTATGGGAATTCATGCTAGTCATCTTGTCTCTGTTTGAAGACTCTAAATATCTCTTCAACACTTAATTCTTCTGCATTAAATGTCTGTAGATTACAGAATAAGGCAGATTTTTCCTTTCTTTCTCCCACATAGCAAATTGCATATCATAAATGTACAAGTAGCACCTTGTTTGGCATGAATGAAAAACAGACACATTTGATAAGTTCTAAAAAGCAGCTATTTTCCTTTCAGAAAAATCTGACAGATCTCTGAGATGTCTGCCTATCAACGCCTTCCACCACCATCTTAAAAAAAAACCCTTCCATTTTCAGACATAGTATTTGGAATTTGACTAATTTTCTGCTGAATGGGTAACTTTCAGAAGCAGGAATAGTTTAGGATTTTCAGGCATGGTATTAATTTATTTAAATTAACTCTGGTTTTTGTTATTGTTTAGAATAAGTTTTTGGCTGGAGTCAAATGTCATTTTTTGACAATCTGATTGAGAAAGCAGTGACAGGACAACTCCATTTTCAAGGACACAGCAACTTTTTGTCTATTCCTCTTATGGGTACATCCCATTCACTTGGTATAAATTATATTTTTCACCAAATTTGTACAATTTCTTTGTAGTCTTTTCAAGTTAATTTGGAAAAAAAAGAACCGAATTAGAAAATGTCTGAGAGCTCATAGAGGAATCTGGTTTTCAGGATCTATTTTAATCTGACTAAAATCATTCATGGCTTGAAGATATGTTGATTACCCTGCTGATGATATTAGGGGCAGTGAGGAAGTAACCTATCCCTAATTGTGTTCTTATATCTGTAAACCATTCTTTTTATGTGCATGATAACATCCTGGAACACTTTAGGGAGCTGAGAATTCAGAAAAGGGTGTTCTGTTCTTATCTTCAAAGCCAGTTAATCAGAAATACAAATTGTCATTGCTTAAGGACTTTGTTCAGCAACCATTTGAAGTTATGATCACACTGAACAAGAGGGACTTATGACAGGTCCTCACATCTGTGGCTGTCTCCATGATCAAATGATCACTATTTGCGACTTTCACTTCCAGACTTTGACAAGCAAAGTTAATGGGGAAGACCAGCAAATGGCTGCAAATGGCAATCGTGTGACCTCAGGATACTGCAACCACACAGTATTGGCCTAACAACAGCAACTGGAACTGCTGGAGCTCCTGCCATAAGTGAGTATAGTTACATAATGTGGTGGCTTATTGCCGCATTTCTTAAAGAAGAGGTTTTGATCCCAGTTGCCAGTTGTCATTGCTAAGCAAGGACAACATGTCCTGCTTCATCTGCTGTGGAATGTTGCAAGATTCTTTCATTCTGTTTGTGTTCCATTAGATTCCTAAATTATATCCAGGATACTTTTTAGCCTTATATGACTTAGCCCTGCTCTGCCCTCATGCTGTAATATGAAAGCTACAATTTGTGAACAAAGGCAAATAACAGGAACCTGAGAAATGATAGAATAATCTCAGCAAACTTCAGACAGCCTAAAGAGGGAGCTCAGTAGCCACAAGAGGCTTAGGGCCCCAGGCAGATCAACCAGGGTATTGTAGTAGTTAAGATGCTGGAACAGAAGTAGGGAAGCCCAACTCAAGAACATCTAGGGCAGGAGTGTCAAACTTGATTTCATTGAGGGCCATATCAGGATTGTGTTTGACATTGGGGGGCCAGGGTGGGTGTGGCTAGCTCAATGTCACTCATGTTGAGGGCGCCTGTGGTGGTTTGTGCACTCTTGAGTGCACAATCTTTCTCTTGCTTTCCTAGTATGTATAGATTATCCTGCTTAACACCTCATGCATGATTTTTTTCACCTTTCCTTATGGTATATTGTCCTCCAGCTAACAGTATTTCATACCTCTGACTATCTAAACTTAAATACTTAATAGATTATGGTCTAATCCCAGTATATCCAATACATTGCCTAATGTTTCAATGATCTCAGGTACTTAGACTTTACCTTCCCCTTTAACAGCAGACTGTTGTCCATTAGACAAACTGACAGATGTTTGCTTAGCTGGTCTCAAGCCAGAAAACATTTGTGGCTCATTTGCAATATGCTGATTTGCCCCACTGTCCAACAATCAAGTGTTTCTAGTGTTGTTGGATGATGTTGCTGCCAGGAAAAGATGAGGGTGAAGGACCACTCCTCATGGGTTGAGTAGCCCTATGCCCTTATCTCACTGCTCCTTTGTTTCTCTTCTCAGGGCAGTGTCTCTGGAGATGCTCTGTAGAACTACACGTTTCACTGTGTAAATGGTCTTAGTTGCTCTGTTGGCATCTTGGGATGTTGCAGTTGTTGGTCTGGCCTGAGAATTATCTTCTTCCTTTCCTAATCTCCAGCCATTTCTGTTTTTCCTCCAGCAATTGGCCAGGCAAATATATCATGTTAAGTCTCTCTCTTGCATAGACTCCAGGCTAGTCATGAGAAAGTCCCATGAAGTGTCTAACAAACTGAGCACCACATATACCTTGTGTGCCTCAGTAAATGTCATTCCTCTTTCCTCTAACTCCAGAAATGTCTTTTTCATAGCCTGCAGATGTGTGGACATGCTCTCCCCCAGTTTCAATTGTGCTTCATATAGTCTCTTTGTCAGCAATATTTTGCTCTCCCCAGTCTCTCTAACATATACACTGCATATAGTCTCCCAGCATTCTTTCACATGTATCAGCTGACTGTCCTCCAAATGCAGGATTATGCTGGCTAATGCCTTTTCATTCCTTCTCTGGTCTCCCTCATCCAGTACTGCTGATGGATCAATAACTATCATACACAACTCCTCCCTTCACAGGTACATTTCCATCTTTACACACCAGGAGAGACACCACGAAACCTCCTCCCATTACACTGATGGAATCCACGTTACCTGTTTCTATTACAAGCACCAACCACTAACAAATCACCATGCACAACCCCTCTGACACTGGAGCAAGCTCTCAATGTGTTTCTCCTCTCTCTGGTCTCACTAGTCACTCTGGGCTTCTCTCTGGTTTGGGCCCATAACCTGTCAGAGTACACACAGGTTTACTATGTGAGACAACCCGGTAGCAATAAAAGCAAACTGAGGTTTATAATAAATAGTGGTTTATTACGTGAAACAATCTAGTAGCAATAATAGGAAACTGGTTTGTAATAAATAATGGTTTTCTCTACAAAATAATACATACTATATATACAAATATTATAGGCAGAAATCAAACAGTAAATTACAGCAGGGAAGAACACACGGTAAGAGCAAAACACCCTAAAAAAGCCTCTTCTTATGATATAGAATCTCAAAGGGAAAACAACTAAAAACCTTGTTGCCTCATTCCTATTATTGCATCAGTGCCTCAATGTAGCTGCTGGTCAGCTCTGAAATCACTGTCCTGAAAATCTAACTATCTAAAGTAATACTTTCCAGTTTACAATAAAATCATAACTATAAAAACATTAAAATTAATAAAATTAGATTTGAAAAGTTAGAAAAGTAAGTGCAAGAACAATCCTTCCAGCATAAAGTACCCCAATCAGGACCCGACCAGCTGATACAAGTTTTTTTTAAAAAAAAAAATTCAAAACAAACACCACACATAAAATCTTCCTTCCTTGCATACTGTAGAAAGTGTATCAGTTGGTTACAAAAGGTTTTCGTGCATCTCTTTCCACAGTCATCAAACATAATTCATATTAACTCAAGTATTTTAACTCAAATATTTATACATGTTACCTTTGTACCTCCATTTATATTTGACTATAATTATTTAAACATCCTTCATCATAAAATATACCAAAATTTAATATATAACCACATACTGGCATTTCATTTAATATTTCAAACATCCTCCAATAACACTGAATCCTTATATCCTATTCTAGCTAAACATCCATAATATTTAATAACAGACTTTTCTAATCCTCCTTTCCAAATCGCTGTTAGTAATTTTCACCTAGTTTCCTTATATTATACTCATATATATGTATATAGGTGGTCATCATTATCCCTCCTTTATTTGACTATATCATAACATTTTACCCCTAATAATCAAAGCTTAACTGTATCTAACTTAATTCTTTTTTATTAACTTTTATATATAATCCAAAAGGATTTCTAATCTTCCTTTCATGGGTACCATTCAATATTCATATCCAATTATTACTTATCATAACACTACACATTGTATACATTATTATCATTATCAATTATTTGTTTAATTATATCTATTATTACTAAGTTTCACTAAATTTAACTAGTTTTAAGTTATATTCTTCCATCTATCAACCTGTATCTTTCCAACAACAAAACAATCTTGTATTTTCTGCCATAGTATTTTAACTAGCTGATACAAGTTTTAATGTCCTTCCAAAAGGCTAAAAGGATAGAGCTTTCACCATAGCATTTTTACATGGGTCACTGTACAGGTATCCAGAACTGTCTAGGTCACTGCACTATTCTGTACCATTTGTAGCTTCTGAATACTCTTCAAGGGTAGTTCCAGGTAGAGTTCATTGCAGTAATCCAGATGAGAGCTAACCAGGGCATGGGTGATTCAACACAGGTCTAAGGAAGCAGGAAAGGTCACAACTGGCACACAACATTGTTGTGGAAAAGTTCTCCTAGTTACAACTACCTCCTGCATTTTGAATAGGGGTTGTAAGTCTAGGAGAATCCCCAAATTGCACAAAGAGCTGGGGTAGTGCAAAATGGATTTCCTACAGAAAGGACATAATTGATGACTATGAGACTTAAAATAACTCCTCTCTGCTTCCTTATATCTTCCATCAAGCATAGTAGAATGAAAAAGGATTGGGAACAGGTCATACAGGATCCATTAACTTTATATGATGTCCAAACAGAGCTTAAAAATATATATTTTGCATCAGACTATAGATTATCTATATCCCCTTTGTCCTAATTTGTTGTTGTTGTTGAATTTGACAAAGTTTTCTAGTTTTTCTACCTTCTTAATTTTCAATAGGGAAAGAGCTGCCAATGAAAAGACCTATTAATTAATTTAATTCAAATAGAAATTGGCCCTTCAAATTGAGTAGAATAACACTCTTAATTAACCAAATTAGAAGTAGGCAAATCTAATTTTATTTCAGTATTCATTTTAAAAGATGTTTGGCTTCTCTTTTATTACCTTTTTATTATCTTTGATAAGATAAAGAAATCTGTTTAAACACACATTGAATATATGTCTCAGGATATACTTATCAACAGAGACTTGTTGAAAAGACTTTGGTTTGTTTTTAACAAAAATAACTCTTCAAAATCAGGCATGATTATGCCTTAATTCATATAAATCAAGGATGTCGAGGGAATTTCTTCCTTTAAGAAAATGATAAAAACTTTAATTTTGACCAAACGATCGATTATGTATTTATTTTCTAAGACCTGTATGCCATTTTAGGCTGATTGACGCTAAGTATCTTACAACCAACACTATATCCAATATTCAATAACAATCGGTAATATCAACAGCAAATATAATATAAGCCAATCTCCAATTACATCATTCCTACCAGAGGTGATATTCAGCAGGTTCTGACCAGTTCTGGAGAACCAGTAGTAGAAATTTTGAGTAGTTTGGAAAACCAATAAATACCACCTCTGACTGGCCCCACCCCATCTATTCTCTGCCTCCCGAGTCCCAGCTAATCGGGAGGGAATGGGGATTTTGCAGTATCCTTCCCCTGGAGTGGGGAGGGAATGGAGATTTTACAGTATCCTTCCCCTGCCATGCCTACCAAGCCACGTCCACCAAGCCATGCCATTCCCACCAACCTACGCCCACAGAAATGATAGTAAAAAAAATTGAATCCCACCACTGATTCCTACCATATAGGAAAGCTTTTTGGAACAACCACATTTTTACCAGCTTTCCAAAAATTATCATGAAATTGGAGAATCTTGGAATATTTCACAAAACAGCAGCTTTGTTTCTATTAATATAAAGATAATAACTGGCCACTCAAGGATATAGTACAACATTGCATATCACACAATCTTTTAATTAATTTGATGGTTCTTGTTTATTTCAGTGTGTACATGGTTACATCTCCATTTCTTTGGTGACAGTGATATCTTATACAGTCTTCTCAAAGTAAGTCTCTGTGAGTTTGCTGAAGTTTATACAATAAGATGGATGAGAAAAAACTTATAAGAATAAATAAATCTCTTACATATGCTGGTTTATGGTAATCTGGAAATCAAAATTATTACCTAAATAAATTTTTACAGATGTTGGAATATAGTCTTATCAAATAGTGGTGGATGCTTTGGGTGTAGAAGGATTTTTTTTCTGCACAATAGATAATCATAAATAGAAAAAAAGAATATTCTTCCATTTGATGCAAAATTAATGCAGACAAGCTCTGGGATTCTGGATAATTACTATGATAGAGAAAATCCACATTGGTGCAAATAATCTTTTGGGTATCCTGGTACTTATAAAGTTAATATCAAACCCTTAAGCATGGCTTAGAAGCAAATCAACAGCCAATTTGGTAAAATTGTTCTTCTGCAGTAGATAGCTGTATTAATAAAAGTTTGATTAGCACATTTCCATTAGTTTTCCTGTCTTGGCCAGGCACCAGAGCAATCCCACATAAGAAAATTATAAAAATGATTCGACCGGAAGTTCTCCAGCTGAACAGCTGTGGGAGATTTGAGCTCTGAAGAGCCTCACATGAACCCTGTCTGACAAACCAATTCCAAGATCCTTTTTTGATCAGAAGATTATTCATTTAACCCCCAGTCATAAATCAAAACTTGGAAAAGGCAAAGAATTTTGAGAGTACAAATAATATTAATAGATAGATATGGATTTTGGCAAAAGGAAAGAAAGAAATGGAAAATGGAGGGTTGAAAAGCCATTCGTTTGAAACAATTTGGAAAGAAAGGGATAAAGCACAGATGAACCCACTCAAATATAAATTCTAAATTTGGTTTTGGATTTGAAATAGAAACCAAACATTCCGAGGTGATTTACTCTGTCCGCCTTTATTCTAACTACTATATCTGAAGCAACTCCAATTAATGAGAGGTGGAATGCAACAAGGAAGAAAAATCAAGGGAAAAGCACTATTTCCTCACTGATAACTGATAACCTAATTGTGCCTGTGCGGGAGATTTAATTAACCACCTGCCATAAATCAGAACTTGGAAAAGCAGGAGGCGAAGAGAAACATACCCAAATTTGACTGTATGCAAGTTTGTTCCAATTAATATGTTTTGAACAACCATAATCAATGAGAGGTGGAAGCTAGCAAGGGAAATAATAATAATAAAACCAAGAACTAGGAAAATACGAAGTTTTTTTTCTTTGCAAAAGATCAAGATGATTCCAGCTTCTTTTCTGTTTTCACATTAGCTAAATTTAAGGTGGACCAGAACTTTGAAATAAGAACTGTATATCTAACTGCAATTTTGGAACTGAATGTTAAGGAAGAACCAAGATGGTCCTCCGCTCCCTCCTACACAGCAGCTGAATTAGATGAATTTAAAGTGGATAAGAACTCTGAAATAAGAACTGTATAATTGGAACTGGACATTATGGAGAGGTGGGAATTTGATGAATTACGTGAAATTATAAAAAATATATGCATAAATCATTAAAATCAAGCCTAAATAGAATTCTGAACTGAGAGAAGCAGGAATTTAAAGAAGAATGGGAGATTATAAGGACGGAAGAAGTGGGGGGGATAATGAAGGCATAGAAACAGTGGGAAATAAAAAGCAGACAAAAAACTTTTTTGGGTTTGGCAGTAGTATAGGGAAAATTGAAAAGGGGGGATGTGTCCCAACAAAAGGAAATAAAAATACAGAGATTGAAAGTGGCATAGGGAAAACTGAAGAAGAAGGTTACGCCCCAACAAAAGGAAATACAAAAGATTTATTTGACGGTGGCTTGGGGAAAATTGAAGAGGGTGGACGTGTCAAAAGAAAGAAAAGGGAGAAGGCAGGAATAAAGAAGTGGAACAAAAGACTTGCTAGGAAAAAAATCAGACAACTAGAAATTGTTATATGGGGAAATATAAAACTGAGATAAAGGGTTTACTCCTAAATATGAAAATAAAATTGTGTTGCTAACTGATTGAATATGATAATGGAAAGATAATTAAATAAAGGTTAAAATATATGGAATATGGACAAATATGAAACTGATATGGGGAGATTGTAAAGCAGAGGTTTGTGATTCACTTTTATACATGATAATTAAACTGAGTTGCTAATTGATTGAATATGACAATGATAATGATAATTAATGACAATGATAATTAAGCATGGGTTAAAATATACGAAACATGGACATATATGGAACTTCTAAGATTATGAACAAAGTGAGATATGTACCGCTTGTTATTCTGTATAGTAGATTAAGGAAATTGTAATGAAATTGAACAGCAAGGATTGTTATTTATAGACAATTAAGGCTAACCTAAACCAAGATATGGAAAAATGGAGAGGGAACATGAAATATACTTACAGTGGGAAACTATTGAGATTTAAAGACAGAATCACAAATTAGGGGTGTGTAAGGATGCATAATATATAAATATAATGATGAGAATAGCTGGGAATTGTAACCAGGTCTACATCTCGCCAAAATTAGGCAGGTTTTTTTTTAAAGTATAATGACTATACATTATACTTTTTTCTTTCTTTTACAAAAGGAGGAAGATATATGTTAAAATTAAATATGTATATTGAAAAGGAATTATAAATACCATCAGCAGAAAATGGAGTTTGCTCAAAAGTAAATGAGATGAAGAGTGTGAGGTAGAGGAGAAAGGTAAAGGAAAAAGAGAGGGACGGGAGAAAGGATGGAGAAAGAGGAGGAGAGAAAGAAGGAGTGGAAAGGGGAGAGAGGAGAAGGAAAGAGGAAGGGGAGGTAGAGAAGAGAAGGACTACAGAGGGAAGAAAGGAGGTAGGGAGGAGGAGGAGAGAGGGAGAAGAAAGTGACAAATATGATGTATGGAGAGCAGAAGAGCCAGTAATTGTTTTGGGGAGTTGATGGTAAGATGAATTGATGTAAACATTTAATAATAAAATAAGTTGTTGGCTATGTAATAGTATAGTATACCTGTGGTTATATGTCATGAAAATGAAAAAATAAAAAACTTTATACAGAAAAAAGACAAAATGTAAATGTAAAAATGTCACTGAGACATAAGGGACCAATGCAGAGTTCTCTGTAGCCAAACTACACTTATCCTGAAACAGCGACAGCTGCTGGTGTACAAATCAAAGGCACTTCAGAAAATGCCCCCAGGTTATATAGCTGTTCTTTCACACTGAATGTAGCCCAATCCAGGAAGCTAAACTATTTCTGAAGCAACCACTTATAAGATCTTTATGCCAGTTTATTCAGACTTACCAATTCCCTGCTATATGTAGCCACTAGCCTAAAACCTCCAAATGCTTCAATTTAGATGCAACAGAGGTATCAGTTCCTTCCTTTCTGTTGTCCAACTTGCTTACTTACTTACTTACTTGTTTGCTTGCTTACTTACTCACTCGCTCACTCACTCACTCACTCACTCACTCAATTTCTATAGCTACTCATTTCAGTCAACGATTCTGGACAATTTACAATTTGTAAAATGTATTTTAATTAAAACACCAAAACAATAGAAGCATCCAAAATAAATATTTATATAGTAGCCAAGATTCTTAGCCAGTTCACAATAAACCTAGGAAAAAAGGTCCTTTGACAATTCTGCATCCCAGGCTCAAGAACATAGCCAGGTTTTTATGGTCTTATGAAAAGCTAACAGGATTGGGGCCATTCTAGTCTCCCAAACATATTTTTGCATAGTCGTTTCCTCCTAGCATTGGTTCCAAGAGATATACATGTCAATGCACTGTAATGTTTATGTCTTTGTGGCCATAAAAAATAAAGTCCACGCATCAGGAAAAGATACATGCTCATTCTACAAAATGCTCTAGTTAAAAAATGAAAAATAGATGCTTTCAGTAACCTTGGTCTGAACTTATTCCTAGAAGGACTATATTTGAGATAAACTAATACAGAGCAATAAACAGTCCTTGAAATAGAAGACTGCCAAAGTTTAAGTGATGTACTTTATTACCTGGATTATAGTATACTGAAAAGCATAGATAAAAGCACTGCTCATTTAATCCAAAAATTAAGTTCTGATTTAAAACATGATCCAAAATATCACCAGAATGGGAATATGGGAATCTATATCTACATCTTCATTTCAAAATATTCTATAAGCATCCAAAGTTTGGTGGCAGATATATTAGTTTTATAAAAGATCCTTTGTGAAATAGACATTATTGAAATCTTTCTCAATAAAAGTCTGAAGAATCTCAACTTTATAGGAGCTTTAAAAAAAGTTCAGTTTGTTATTCACTGTCTCTATAAATCTTTCTTGGGTCTTTCCCGTGCCACTGATTCATTCCTTAAGGACTGAGGAGGGACAGGAGGAGCCATCAACTCCAAATGAATGTGTTTATTCAGAAATATCTTGAAGCTTTTCCAGCTTTTCAGTACTTTCTTCTGATTAAGCTTCCCTCTCATCCACTATTTTCTGGGCCATTCATTGTAGCCTCCTGATGGAAATAACTGCCATGAAACTCTAGATAAAAAAGAGATTGAGTTGGAGAATGGAAATAAATCTAGAAACCTGGGGCAAAATGAAATATTCCTGCAAAGATTTACTATGTAATTATTATCTAAATTTCTGAAAGAAAATTCAATCTGTAACAACTGAACACAATGGTTTTATGACTTTCAGTGTTGTAAGTTGCCTGGGTTGCCTATAGCAAGATGGGTGTCATTGTTTTATGATACAGTGGTATGATACAGTACAAAACCTGGGTTTTGTTACTGGTTTTTATACATGGCATTCATTTAGATGGCATTTGTATATTTTGGAGAATGCAATTTGCAAAAATGACAATGGAGACAGTACAGTGTAAGGAAATACCCTCAAACCATAAGCAAGATTTCTGACTCTATTATATCTCTTCAAATGTTTTTTTTTAATGAGACAGAAATAAGGAAGAATACGCATCAGGATATTTATTGACTGAATGATGCTGTAAGCTATTAATATCTCTTTTTCAAAGCACTATAATTGGAGAGTCCTTGGAAAGCTGTTCACTGTAATTAAAAGGCAGATTTGTCAATCCCTCCACTTCCTCTTCCTCTTACTCCTCCCCTATTTCCACCCTGGAGTTTTCCATTGCTGGAAAAGTTAAAGCAGTATTACTGCAGCCATTCTTTCTGCATCCCGCAAAGCAGAAAATTCATAGGACATCCTAATTTTGTTAGGGAATTCATAGAATGTCTCCAAATCTTGGGTTACATATAGATGTCATTCAGCAGTTTTGTTATTAACAGATAAGTTTGATGTTGCCTGCCCAAGAAGGGTTTCATTACATCAGCTAATGAGTTATGGATAAACAAGATTTAAGGATTTATGAAATACACCTTGCATCAAATTAAAATTGCTAAGGAAAGTCAAAAGAAAGCTCGACCCAATTTCTAGCCTTTTCTGTCATTCTCTGTATTGAATCAAATAAATATTTTATGTTCATTCCAGGAAACAGATGAATGTTCCTAATTGGACAGGTTGTAATTTCATTGGTGCCTAAGAAACTGCAGCTGAATATTTGCTGCATTTCCTTGTTTGCAGAGATGATTTAACTTTTTATAAGTCACAATAAGATTAATCCATGGGTAAATTGCCTTACTTATTATTAATAATCTTGCAAATACATGCTTTTCTACACAAGTCTTTAACAGCAAGCTAAATTGCCTGCTAAAGTGCCCTTCCAACACTATTTCACTATGTTGACTCAACAACGCAGATTGATTGGGATCCACAAAGGCCTAGTATTCTTTTTAAGAATGAAATGTCATAAAATAGCTTTTCCCAACCTGACAAGCCCCCAGTATGCTAGGACTGCAATTGTCAGAATTCCCAGTAAAACGTACTTCCCTCCCATTCCAGTATGGAAATATTGTGACAAACATATGCCCAACTTTACAAAGGTTGTTTTGACATGGGAAAACCTGTAGAAATGAATGTTTCAATGAACTTTTTCCTCAGGAAGAGAAGATACATATACTTCCCAATTAACCTTGATTAAAAAGATTATATTTTATATGTGTGATATATGTGATTATATTCCAGACAGTAGAACAGAAAATTCTTTTTTCTGTGCCACAACTCATATGGAACTGCAATCTCTAAAGCTGTGTATGAGGTATACATTCTCAAGAAAGTCAAGCTGGACCATCACAACTCATCTAAATTGATTTATTCCCTTTGACAATAAGATGGCCACTTATTCATAACTGAGCATTCGGCAAAAGTAAAATACAACCTTGCATAAAAATGCATTTGCTAATTTATAACGCTATAAATCCACTTAGAAAGTTATTATAACTTGATGGCTTAACTTCTTGACTTAAAGAAGACTGAACAGATTATGTTCAGCTTGCTTATTAGTGTATTGACCTATTACTGCTAATGGAACTTTTCAAACCTCTTATAATTTTTCTAATCTTTAAACTAGATTCACACCAGATATTCTTCTAAATTAGGGATGTCAAACTAAATTTCATTGAGGGCCACATGAAGGTGGTGTTTGACCTTGGGGAGCCAGGGTAGATGTGGCCAGATCAACATCACTTTATCAGGGGCGCCTGTGGTGGCCTGAGTGGTCTGCCAGCAAAAATAGGCTCATGAGCTCCGTTTTTGGCTGCGAAAGC